ACTGCTCTCTAGAGCAAGGAGGAATGGAGATTCTTCCCAGGCTGAGGAAATAATGAGAATAAAGGCAGGAATGCACAAAGTGTTCTCTCTTTAGTTAGCTCTTGTCTATTGGGTCCCCTATAAGCAATACTGAAATTATCGAGAAACCTTGTCTCTCCTTCTCTTTATGTCCTCCTCCAGCCCTGCATCTGCCTGAAGTAGTATCTACTTACTTCAGACTAATACCTTTGAAGGCATCTCGAGCCCATAGGGGCAGCCTGGACCTGATGAGGCACATCAGGATATATTCCACCAACTAAATTCCCATGGCTTTCTAGCATTTAACCTGCCCGCCCCTCTTAACCCCTAAGAGCGAGCATGGGAGAAAAGCCCTTGAACACATACTTCCAAAACTCACAACCCACAGAAGGGCAGAAATAACCAACAGTATACAACAGCTTGCAGTAGCCCATGTATATAGCATCGTATCATGCTCCTGAATCCTCTGTGCCCCACCTGTCCTGAAAGCTGTGTGGGCCTCACTCGCTTTCCTGGGCCACAGGCCATGGGCTATGGGTTTTGCTATAGAATTAAGAATCAGGGAAATGAGAACATTAACTGAATATTTGCTACTATTATGACAATATTATTCTAGTTTTAGTTGTGATAATTGTCATGACCTTTTTCTAGGAACCCTTTTTACAGATTCATATATAAATAATCTGGTGTCAGGAAAGAGGTAAGGTAGGGGAATGGTTGAAACAAGATTCAGTCTCTGAATCAGTACATGTTGAATGTAAGTGAAACCTATATGGGAGTTTATTGTCTCCACTTTTGTATGCATGTGTAATTTTCCATAATAAAATGTTTATTTTTATTTTTTTATTTAAAAAAAATTTTAATGTTTTTATTTGTTTTTGAGAGAGAGCATGTGAGTGGGGAGGGGCAGAGAGAAAGGGAGACACAGAATCCAAAGCATGCTCCAGGCTCTGAGCTAGAGCCCACAGAGCCCAACACGGGGCTTGAACCCATAAACCATGAGATCATGACCTGAGCTGAAGTCAGATGCTTAACCAACTGGGTCATCCAGGTGCTCCTAAAATGTTTTTTTTTTTTTTAAAGATTGGATCATGGGGCACCTGGGTGGCTCAGTTGGTTGAGTGACCAACTTTGGTTCAGGTCATGATATCACGGTTCATGAGTTGAAGCCCCAAGTTGGGCTATCTGCTGACAGCTCAGAGCCTGGAGCCTACTTCTGATTCTGTGTCTCCTCTCTCGGTCCCTCCCCTGCTCATACTCTCTCTCTCTCTCTGTCTCAAAAATAAATAAAAACATTAAAATATTTAAAAATAAAAAATAAAAAAAGATTGGATCTGATTGAAGGATTGAAGCCAAAGCAGTAAAACAACATCCTTCAGAAGCAACAGTAAGAGAGCTTTTTCCCCAACAAAGACCCACATCCTGAGCTCCGTGACAAGGAAAGGGCCTCTTATTCAGGCAATTCATTAAAAATTAGCTCCACAAAAAGGCAAAACCAGAAATAAGCAACCAAAGCCTGAGGTGTGTCCACATTTACACATTTATTTGGGTTTAGAGAGACAACACAGATAAAATACTTAGATCATACACAGGTTTATATTTGGTAAGAAGAACAGGTTGCCACATGTTTATATTTTTTATTTTTTTCTGTCTTGAGTAATGGAGTAATGTTGGGAAGATGGCGATGTCTTCCAGAAACACCAATTGGGAACAGTATTTTGGCACACGTAACTAATAAATACACAGTGTTTGTACTTAGCATTTGAAAACAGGAAAGCACGTGCAAGATGATACCCACCGTTAGGGTCCTTGATTCCCTGTCCTGCTGCTATATTTACACCCGTGCATTCTCTGTCCATATTCTGAGGGGTAGAGCCTGCTCCAAAACCCTGGCAGGGACAATACCTGCAATTTGGAAGGGTTGTGACACTCTATCCACATCGGTTTCTTCTATTTTCAGAGATGAAGTAGCATTCACCTTGCCTTTTGTGAAATCACATAGTTCTCAAAGGAGATTTCTCAGTGGGGAGCTTAGCCGAGGGCATGTTCTCTATTAGAGCTGATGTGGAGGGTGTACAGTTTAGCAGAGAGAGGGAGGGGGTGAGAGTACAGGAATGGATGCAAATGTAGTTCTCATATCAGTACAGCTACCACACGGAAAACGACATATCAATAATATATTGTACAAGCTTTTATAGCAACACATGTTGATTTGCAACACCATACAGTTCAGATCTAAAGTGCGCAACCCCAATCTGAGGTGACGGGACAGTACTATCAATATAAACAAAGGCAACACGATTATACACACAATTGATTTCCTTTCCTTTCCTCACAAGCCTTGTGACAGTACATGAAGTCAATACCATTTATGCATCTCAGATAAAGACATACCACTTTTTTTCAAGTATTTAAAAATAATAAACACCATATTGCTGAATAAAATGAAAATGGCCATGTCAACTCTGATTAAGCTAAAACCAGGCTTTTCTAAAATTTGTAAAGGATGGTCCCCTATAAAGGCCTTTGGCACTGAGAATTTGAGCTGATGTTCAAAACAACCTTCCTTCCTTATTCCTTCTCTCCCAAGTAGATTACAGACCTACTTTAAAGAATATTTATTAAACTACTGGGACCTATTAGGCTTTTATTTACCTCCTTTTCTGGGTTATGGTTGGCAGGGATTTTACTGCCTAGGACTGAGCAAGGCTCCCAGCCAACTTAGGGAAGGATCTGGAAGGAGCAGGGGGTGAGAGAAACAATCTATGGGTAGAAGTTATTTTGCTGGAATTTCATGCACAGGTACAAATGTTCCTCCTTTTAAATTCTGTCATACTATCAAGTTAAAAACAGCAGCTTCTGACAGAGAATCTGTACCACAAGGTATAAGCATCCTGGAGTTAAGAGGGATCTGTCTAGGGCAGGGCCCTGGACTCCACCATCTTCTCCAAGCAGGACAATGGGTTTGATAGTGACTCTGCCTCTGAGGTAGGACCTTTTGGCCTGAGGCTCAAAATAGGTGGGCAGCTCTGTGCTTAGTCTCAATAGCCGATATCTAGAAAGGAAGGGGATGCATAGCCTAGATGGGGAAGCTTATTCCTTCATGAAATTCTGGGGCACAGATAAAAGTTTTCTCCTAGTTGTCACAGGGAACCTATTTGCTTCCTAGACAGGAAAGACCCAAACCTATGTTCATTTCAAGTATCAATGTTTTTGTATATAATGTGGGAGAAAGAATGTAGGGGCAAGCTCATGCAGATTTCAGATGGTTGGATCTTGTGGTATATATTATAGGGCATTTCTTTCTTTCTCCCCTTGTACACCTGAATGTACTGAATACTAATCTGGTCCATATAGAAAGGATGAATGTTTCTAAGTTTCTATCTACAGTCTGCATCTATGAGTCTGCAGTTGTCATTCTAGTACTTGGAATCCAACAATCTGTGGCCGCACAAATATCTATGAGAGCTCGTTAGCTCGTGTCTCTCCATCAGGTTTATAGGGGAAGAAGAATGCTTTCAAAATATTATCTTGAATTCTAAAGATCTTACTATTTCTGCACACTCTGGTCACTTTGGATCTTGATGAGAGGCAGATCAAAGAAGGTCTTAAGATGCTGTCTCAAAATCTCAGGTGAGGAGCTCACTTTATGAGAGGAAAATAACCATCCATGGAATAGAAATTAAGTATTCTGGATTTCAGTGATGAGGCCTAGCAGGAGAGAATTGTTGTGGGTAGGAGAGGGGGAGGGAATGGGAATAAGCAATTACCCAGGAGGTAAATGACTCCTCCCTGGACAGTGGCAATATGGTGCCCAGGATGACATCATTGTTCTCACGCAGAGATCTCCTGTCTCAGGGCTGAGTTCAATTTTCTGGGCTCACCACATTTCTGGAGCATGCTTCATTCCTCTTTGCTCAGGCTGATGAGATTTTATTTTTATTTTACCTAATTAATCCAAATGACGTACTAAAAGAATATTGTTTGGGAAGATGCCTCAAGAACTGGCATCAACCTTCTGTTCAAAACAAGCTGAACTGGAAAGCAGAGAACAAACAATTACCCTAGTTTAGTCTAAGATGAAGCTTGGCTTGTCAGGCTTCCTGAGCGGCTCTGCTCAGGGCCAACTGGGTGGAAGACTTAACTAGGAAGAGAATCTTCTTGTTGATCTGGTCAGTCATTTTAAAGAACTTGCAATATTCTTTTGTGTTCATTTTGTAATACTAACTTTAGGGATGTGATAAGCCATACCCTAAATAGAAAGAAGGCAAGATACCTTTTAGGAATTTTGTGGGCCTAGGTTTCAAGACAACTTTACTAAGTGTTTATTGTGCCTCCATTAAAAGAAAGAGAAAAAAAAAATCTGGCTTAGTTTTTATATCTGCCCCTGCAGTTTGTATAACCCATATAAAATAAAAATCTATATGTTACAAAATAGGATTTCTTTTTAATATATATATTTTCCTTTTGTAAAATTATATGTATTTAAATACATTTGAAATGTCGCTATAGGTAAATTAGAAATTTTTTTTTCTAATACTATGAAAAAGGCAAGAGTTTTTATTGTCAACATACATTTTATATGTACTTTCTCCTTTTGACTGCACCCCAAAGAACCTTTTATGATTCAGGGGCAATTTGGCACTATTCAATCATACTACTCTGAAGTGAAAATAAAGTTTGATTTGCACACTATATTAAAAGTAAGGGAAGTATTTAAAACAATTTTAAGCTTCTCATTATTGATTAGAACACAGCCTTTTGTCGCTAATTTTTAGAGAGGTATTCTAAACTTAAGAAAGGATTTTTAAAAGGAGCAATGTGGTTTTTTTTTGTTTTTGTTTTTTGATTTTTAAACTGTACTCTACTTTGACACCACAATAGAGAAATAGATTTACTTTGGAACAAACTACAAATACATTCACACAGTTTGTGACAACTTAATTGTCTACCTAGAGAATTGAAACAGCTCAGTGAGCTAATTATAAATCTTGTCCAAGGCGTTCTATTTCTTCAATCAGGAAGTCAATGTCTTGGTGAGTTGCTGCGGGATTTGAGATGACCATGCGGAAGAAATTGACCTTGTCTCCCAAGGGCTGATAGCTGACCATTGTGGTCCCATACTCCATCATTCTGGCTTTAATCACTGGGGCCACCTGTGGAAGAGACCAGATCAACATAGTGATTCCTGGGGACTCTTCCTTTAGCCAAAGAACCCAGTATCAAGTAGCACTTTTAGTTTTTAACTAAATAACTAAACTCATATTTGTTTTCCTTAAGGGAATTGTCTCCAAGTTTTGGGGGGAATCAGGGGACTAGAACAGTTTCATACATCCAAAATCTTGAAGGTGATAAGATGAATAATAAATGATAGGCTCTCAGGTGCTTTCCACGTCAGGTGATTCAAGGCCTGAGACCGCAGGCCCAAAATAGAGTCACTTATGCTGGGCCATTTAACCAAACCCCAGGCTTCGTACCTAACCTACTTGCACTTTCAACTTTCCCCAGAAATATAGTCTTAGCTGGTCAGTCAGGAGTTTTCTGATCAGCACCAATAACGTACTCTGTCACATGGGGCCTCACCATCCCCGGAAGAAAGATGAGGTAATTCACCTAATAAGAGCTTTTTTCCCAAGGGAAGGTGACCTCACCCAAAGTAATTCTTTTTTCTGTTTGTGACTTCCTTGTCCTGCTTTTAAAAATCTCCCCCTTTCTACTTGCCAGAGGGGATGCTGCCAGATTTATGAACTGATTCATAAAGCCAATTAGATCTTTAAAATTTACTCAGTTGAGCTTTTGTTATTTAACAACTTCCTAGTTACTATTTTCGGAGCACGGGAACAATTGGGTGTTGTTTCCAAGGCTAAATAGTTTAGCAATATGACATTTGGTGGAAGGCTCTTTTCCCCTCAGTATGTGTAAAAACACTGGAAACAAAACATAGTTCAGAGAATGGTTATGGAGAGGTAAGCCTCAATATCAAGTGATGTCTGAAAATAAGCAGACTTTTGAGGCCCTAAAACACTTATTTCTTGATACCCCAAAGCTTTCCCATTTCTTTTCATTCTCCTTTTGCATTTTCTCATTTTATATTTTGAAATATAGTCCATAATCATGATGAAAATCAGCAGAACCCACAAAGACGTAACATTACAGAAGTGGATCACAGACAAGATCTTACCACTTGTATGCCAGATTGATGATTACAGAGTTCTCTGACTACTGTGTATGAGATGAAGTTCAAACTCTAGCTCAGCATAAAGATGTTTTGTACCGCAGCTCTGAAGACTCATCTTCCAGTGCTCACCAAAATGAATCTTCAACTCTGACAAAACCTATAGTCAATATCCCTTGAATGTGCCACACACACTTTTCTCCTTTCACACTTGTCCTCAGTCTTACCGTGTCACACTTGTCTTGGCTGAGAGTCCCTTTTCTCTTCCAGGTCACATCCTGCACACACTCCAAGGCTCTACCATAGACCTACAATCACTATGAAGCCTTTCCTGACTCCTCTAGTCCAGTAGCATCTTTTCTCTTTCAATGATCCTTACCCATACATTCTGTCTACAGAATATTTCCTATTGTCCTCTCGCTTATGAGAAAATACATTTCATCTCTGTAATTTCAAAACTGTAAGCTCTGGAGGGCAGACACAGTGTCTTTTACTACTTTTGTTTACCAGCACAGTACTGTGTACACATTGAGGGCTTCCCAAGTCCTCATTGCTTATACAGAATAGAATAACAAGGACAGCTATCTAGGAAGAGGAATGCATTTAAATTATGTCTAACCATGTGCATGATCTATTCACGTATTTCACCATTGGAGTTTATAAAAACAATATCTGATCATTTAAGTTCATTGCTGCAAATATGGAACCAGGAATGGCACATGTCAGGGAACTTTTGATTTATTTAGATATACATAGTAAGAAACTCAGTTCAAAATGGGGACCATGCCTTACAACACAGTTGGATTCATCTTAAATGAAGAATAGTTTGATTCCAGTGGAATGCCATTTTGAACATGTGACTTTTGAACATTAACACTTAAATAATCATTGGTTTACAATGAGGTTTCATCTTCAAAGTGCTCAATGTGCAAATGACATATCTGATAAAGTGTTAGTATCCAAAAAACATAAAGAACTTATAAAACTCAATACCCAAAAAACAAATAATCCAATTAAAGATGGGCAGAAGACATGAACAGACATTTCTCCAAAGAAGACATTCAGATAGCCAACAGACTCATGAAAAGATGCTCAACGTCACTCATCATCAGGGAAATGCAAATTAAAACTACAATGAGCTGTCACCTCACACTTGCCAGAGTGGCTAAAACAAAAACAAAAACAAAACAACACAAGAAACAACAAGTGTTGGTGAGGATGTGGAAAAAAAGGAACTTTCTTAACACTGTTGGTGGGAATGCAAACTAGTGTAGCCATTGTGGAAAACAGTATGGAAGTTCTTCAAAAGGTTAAAAATAGAACTACCCTATGATCCAGAAGTCGCACTACTGAGTATTTACCCCCAAAATATAAAAACACTAATTCGAAGAGATACATACACCCCTATGTTTATAGTAGCATTATTTACAATAGACAAATTATGGAAACAGCCCGTGTCCTTTGATTGATGAATGGATAAAGAAGATGTGGTATATGTGTACAATGGAATATTATTCAGCCATAAAAAAGAATGAAATCTTGCCATTTGCAACGACATGGATGGAGCTAGAGAGATAATGCTAAGCAAAATAAGTCAGTCAGAGAAAGACAAATACCACATGATTTCACCCATGTGTGGAATTTAAAAAACAAATGAGCAAAGGAAAAAAGGAGAGAGGCAAACCAAGAAACAGACTCTTAACTATAGAGAACAAACTGATGGTTCCCAGAGGGAGGTGGTGGGGGAGGGGTAAAGCAGGGGATGGGGATTAAGGAGTGCACTTGTTACGATGATGAGCACTGGGTGATGTATGGAAGTACAGAGTCACTATATTGTACACCTGAAACTAACATAACTGGATGTTAACTATAGGAGTTGAAGTTCAAAAAGTAAACTAAATAAGTATAAACAAAAAAACCCACAAAGTATTCAATGTGCAAAATCAACATTTTTCCCATCAGGCCCAATTATTTGTTAGCTACCAAAGAGAAAACCAAGGACAGAGTTCACCTTAACCTTCATTTCACCTTCACCTTACATCCAGAACCTAATCTCCTCACCTAAAAACGAATGTGCATGACAGTTCTGCACTGTGATTTTCTGACTCTAGGTTAAGTCTCTTTCGGCCTCTTTATTACATAGGAAGGTAATATAAAGAGGAATGCTTTTCTTGGGTTGGCCCTTCTTTCCTCTAAAGGATAAAGAATGTACACAGAGCATAAGGCTCATCCCAGCGAATAAATATGACAAAAATAAATTATCTCAAGTCTGGGATTAAATTCTGAAAGTGGATCTACTAGAATATTCTAGCATTAAGGATGTGAAATTATCACTTTGTGCTAGGAGAATGGCAAATCAATGTGTTCCTGGGGAAGAGAAACCCCAAATTAGAAAAGGAATTCCAAATCCAAATGTTGTCTGCAGGAATTTCAGGAAAATTCATGTAAGTATTCCTTAGTTTTTATTCATGTAATAAATCATGCTTCCTCTTTAGAACTGATAAAACAATGATCATGCTGTACTCAGTGAATTAAACTCTGATTTCATTTTAATGGGCAATCCAAGCATAAATGGTATTAATTATTAAAGACAATCACCTCCTATTTTTCAGATAAATCAAATCAAATCAAAGGTCAAAAATTTAAATGGCAACAGTCATCATCCCAAACAGGTTTTGGCGTTACGTCAGACTGAATCCCCCCAGTTCCTGAAGCTAGCTGGGTTGGCAGAAGTCATAGCTGTGTAAATACATATGACTTTGGATTGCTTCCAGAAAATGTGGATGAATAAAATTTACAGGAAAATGGAACATCTACTTCATTGCATAATCAATAATTGCAAATTCAGAAGGAAAATAATATTCTGACTCTATTGATGAACATACAGCACTTTTACTTATTTCTAGACTTTTTCTTTTGGTCACATTCTTGGTTTTGTTGAATAAAGAGTCAGGAAAGAGAGGCTGCATGTTGAAGAATTCATTGAAGACATACTCAGTAGGAGCTCTTGGGTGCTGCCTTAAGAGTTTTAGGGTATCATTTTCTCCCTTGTGTCCTTAGCTTTTTCAGTCCTTTAGAAGATAATAACCAGGGAACTATCCCATAATTTGAATACACATTTGTGTCTCCAAAGAGAACTCAGGTTAAAGCATCACAAAATCATAGAAATGTATTTTTTTCAGTATGTATTACAAAATCTTTTTGTTGCTAAATCTTGGGAACATGAGTGAAATTTTGAAAAATGAAAAAGCAGAATAACCATAAATAGGAATCCCAACACATTAAAATTTCAATAAATTCCTCATTACGTTCAATAATATAGACTATGGAAGAATATCACCTTACATATAAAGCCAACTACTTCTTTGCCAATGTTCTTTTATTTTTTATTTTTAGAAGTTTATTTATTTTTGAGAGAGAGAGAGAGAGCGAGCGAGTGTGCACATGTGTGCACGCATGAGCTGGGGAGGGGCAGAGAGAGAAAGAAAGACAGACAGAATCCGATTCAGGCTTCAGGCTCCAAGCTGTCAGCACAGATACCAACGCGGGGGTTCATGAATACTCACGAACTGTGATATCGTGACCTGAGCTGAAGTAGGATGCTTAACCAACTAAGCCACCCAGGCACCCCATCCTTGCCAATGTACTTTTAAATCCACTGTTGACCTTCTGGAAGTCAGTATAGGACTGGTAGAAACAGGGATCAGATATGCAGATAATTATAAAATACAATGGAATAAAATACAAGATGAAGATGATGATGAAGAACCAGGATTCGTGTCTGAAGAATACCCTCATGGGCTCTTCTGCTGGTCCTGCCTGTGTCTAAAGCAGTTGTATGTGGTTGTGTGGTACCCCAGGCCCTCTGTGTCCACTGTGCCTCAATGATGATGGGCCACCTGCACACTCACAGTCCTGACAGACAGCAGGAATGCACGAACCAGATTCTCAGCCTCCTTCAAGAAGCTTAGGCTGTCTTGTTTGGTAATGACCACCTGTTGCCTAGATATCTGCCCCCACATCAGTGTGAGCTGTGGAGAAAGGCCTAGGATCCACTAGTAGGTTTCCTAAGTGTTTCCCATCCGTGTTCTGGAATATGCAAATGGCACGTTAGCTAAGCAAACATTTTTGAGTGCCTATTGTATGCTAAGCCTTGTACCAGACAAGAGGGCATAAAGAATAATTCTTTATTGGAGGGTCCATAATTTGACTTAATTCTCATTTGCCATACAACGGCACAGAAGACTCCACATTTCCTCCCATTTTGGGTCTATATCAGCACTGACCATGAGAACTTTAGGTAACGATAGAGATGTGTTATATCTCCACTCTCTGATACAACAGCCACTGGTCACAAGTTGACCACTTGAAATGTGGCCAGTGTAACTAAAGAAGTTAATTTCTGGTTGAATTTAATTTTGATTGATTTAAATTTAAATGCCAAATGTGGCTATTGATAATATATTGGACAGAGCAGATGATTCATTTTATTTTACCTCAGCTGTTTTCCTTCTGACATTGTGTGTGCGTGTGTGTGTGTGTGTGTGTGTGTGTGAAGATTTACTAATCCCTGGACATTATACATTTATACATTAAGGGCTTTATAATTAAGAGGAAACTCTGAAAAATTATTGACATAAGTAAACAAAAGTTAACCTTGATATTTTATGTGGTTCTATTGTGACTTCCAATTCTGAATTGCTAAATTCTCTATATTCTGGTCAATAAAATGGAATCACAGGAGAGGAAAAATTTAAGAGGATTCATTTTGCAATCCCCAGAGACTTTCAGATTTGAACTACAAACTGTATAAAAATAGTTTACTAATATTCTAATGGCTCTCCCCAAGAAATAATCTCCATTCCCATCACAGTTTATGTGTTTTTGCTAAAACCTGAGGGGCATTTGAAGAGAGTTGTATTTAAATGGGGGAGATTCAGAGTTGATTTTTGTTCAGAAACTGATGGGAAAAATCTCTTTCTGTTCTGTATTCCCATTTTGTCCCATCCCTCAGCCCAGAAATAATTCATTGATTCAAGGAATGAAATTGGCCAAACTACTCCAGGGATTTTCTCTCTCTGGTCAATGGGTTCATTAAAGAGGTAGAGCCAATAAGAATGGAAACATCTAATTTATAACTAATTTTTTAAATTAATTAGTCATTGGTAAAATGATACACACTATGGAGAAGCCACACCATAAAACTTCAGGAAAAAATATGAATTCTTTCCTCTCAAATGACTGCAGGCCCCTTTTTGCCCACCTATCACCTCCAATGTGACTCTCACCCTCTCTCCCTCCCACCTCTTGGACTTGATCTCCTGGAATGAGCAAATGAGCCAACTTTATTAAAACTTCAAACATGACCATAACCCCTCCTCCTAGACACATGCATTGATGGATCCCCCATTCTAGAAGCTTTCTTCCATGCATTCCTCTAGGTCAGTGGCTCTGATCCTGGGCTGTACATTGGGATCACCTGGAGAACTTTTAAAACCATTCCTAAGCCCATCCCAAACCAATTGGATTAAATTCTTAGGGTAAAGAATTTACCAGTGTTTTTTATAAAACTTCAGGCTGATTCTAATGTGAGGCCAGGATAGCAAACCACTACTCTAATTAAGAGGCTTGATTTAAACACCTCAATTATATGCAAGTTTCCCTGATGAGGGTTTGATCCTGGATTGTCTATGGACAGGTGTTCATATCTCTAAGCTTTTCTGGAGGTTTTTAATCCACACAAGGGGCACTTGGGTGGCTCAGTCAGTTAAGCATCTGACTCTTGATTTCGGCTCAAGTCACGATCTCACAGTTTGTGGGATTGAGCCCTATGTGGGGCTCTGCAGTGATAGTGTGGAGCCTGCTTGGGATTCTCTCTCTCCCTCTCTCTCTCTGCCTCTGCCCTTTTGCGCGCACACACACACTCTCTCAAAATAAACAAAAATAAACTTTAAAAAACCCGCACACCATCCCACTGTTTGACACAGAAGAAAATACTGGAAATTCTGAAAGTCAGTGAGGCAGCCCAGGCTCCTGCATGGTGGGGGAGAGGGACTTCCCTGCTCCTGAAAGTGACTGGAGAAAGTCCCCTCCTTTGTGGTAAATGGAAAACCAACCAACTAACCCACCCTCTGACATCCAAATACACACGATCATCCCTATTGTCCTATTCCTCAGCACTGGGATGGAGCCCTGCATTTACTTGCCTTCAAGACTCTCTCTGGCGTACATCGTAAACCAAATTTCACCCATGTGTAAACGCTAGAAGCAGGAGAGGAGAAAAGATAAAGGATCTTACTGGCCACAGAAAAACTTGAAGCTGAAGCCCTCTGGCTCTGGAGTCAGTGATTTTGGAAAAGTGATTTTTTTCTCCCCATGCTTTCATGTTCCTGTCAGCAAAAGGGAGAGACAACAGTGCTTCCCACATTAGGTTACTTATGTTGGAATAAGTTTCTAGGCCCCACGATGGAGCTGCTCCTGCCCAGGATGTCACTTCAGGAAAAGGACACTTAACTTTCACATCCCTATAAATGCTCTGCTTGACCAGAAACATGGAATGTCCAGTCAGCCAGTCCCTGATGCCAAGCCAACCTGGGGCTCCTTGTTCCTCACCCATTTTCTTTCTCTTCCTGTTCCTTATTCTTTATCCTATAAAAGCTTCTTGCCTTCCCCCCATTTTGCAGTTCTCTGGCCTCCTGGGAATGCAGGTTGCCCACTTCATGAAATGTTAGATTAAGTTTGTCTATATCACCTAAATTGTCTTCTTCCGTCATTTTTAACACTTACGAAAGTTAGGTGACCTAATGCTAGATCAAAGTTGAGCCTGGGACACAATATGCACTCAAACAGTGGCCATTATTATCATTCCCTGCCCTATTATCTTCTGGGGTTCAGCAAGCTCCATAGGGTAGCCTTGACCTCGGCATCTCAAGAGTGTCAGTAGCAGCTCTGTTTCCTAACCATTTCTGGTGCCTGAAATCTCTTCTGTGCGTATGACTGAGCACGGAAGGTTTCACTTGGTGGGTCAGCCAACTTCGGCAAGGGTTCTTGTTGCATCACGAATGGCAGTAAAGCTAACACCTGATTACTTATTTTAAGATCTCATAAACTTGCCCTCAGAAAAAAGAAGCAAAAAAAAAAAGAGGGGGTTGTTAGGGGGGGCACCTGGGTAGCTCATTAGGTTAAATGTCTGACTTCTGTTCAGGTCATGATCTCGCAGTTCATGATTTCAAGCCCCGCAATGAACTCTCTGCTGTTAGTGCAGAGCCCGCTTTGGATCCTCTGTCCCACTCTTTCTTTCCCCTTCATCTGCTTGCATGTGCGCATGTGCATTTTCTCTGTCTCTCAAAAATAAACATAAAATTTTTGTTCTAATAATAAAATTTAAAAAAAAGAAAAGAGAAGCAAATAGGGTAGTTACAAGTCTGGATATGCCAGTTCTGAAAGTCCTGGTTCTGTAGGAGCCCTCATGAAGGGGAGTGGGCCTGCACACCAAGGAAGAGGTTGGATTTCTCCTAGAGACATGTGCATGTTAGAGAGATGCCATGCACGTGGAAGGCCCAGTGTACACACCAACGTATATACCGGAGGAGCCTGTATCACTGACCTTTGAGAGGCGGCTCATTCTCTCTTCATTGTCTTCCAGGACACGCAAACTCGGAGGCACGTACCAGAAGCAGACATTTGTGTGCTGAGGCTACAAGGAGGAAAGTAAGATTCACATTCAGCCCATGGTGGCAGTTTAGAAAATTCCAAGGACATTTCAAATCTATTCTGCAACTTCTGAATAGAATTCCTACTTAAAAAAATTTTTTTTAATGTTTTATTTTATTTTTGAGACAGAGAGAGACAGAGCATGAGTGGGGGAGGGTTAGAGAGAGAGGGAGTCACAGAATCCGAAGCAGGCTCCAGGCTCTGAGCTGTCAGCACAGAGTCCGATGCGGGACTCAAACTCACGGACGGTGAGATCATGACCTGAGCCGAAGTCGGAAGCTCAACCGACTGAGCCACCCAGGCGCCCCAAGAATTCCTACTTTTAAATCCATAACCACTTTTAGAGTTCCTGATGTTCACCACGATATACAGAGTTATTGTTTTGTGAGTGTGATTTTTTACTCCAGCTCAGGACCCCTGCTTCTCCTTTGTAATGGTCCCACTTACCTGGACAGTACATGATTGACACACAAAAAATCAATGATAAGAATTAGAGTTGGGGCACCTAGGTGGCTCAGTCAGTCAAGTGTCCAACTCTTAATTTCAGCTCAGTCATAGTCTCATGGTTCAGGAGATGGAGCCCTGCATTGGGCTCTGCGCTGACAGATTCTCTCTCTGTCTCTCTGCCCCTCCCCTGCTTTCTCTTGTGCTCATGCTCGCTCTAAATAGAAACTTTAAATATAAATAAACATTTAAAAACATAAAAAAAAATGGAATTGACTAAACTTTTTGAGATCGTAGAGATCAGAATACATACCTTTCCATCAAACACCATTTCATATCCTTCTCGGTTTTTTATGATATTGTATAAATATTCTGCCAGCTCCAAGCACTTATCAATATGTGCTTCAAACCCAGTGGTGCCCTGAGTAAGAGAAGAAGAAAGGTTATCAGCAGGGGGCTGAGAAAGGCAGGTAAGCTCTTTGTGGGACAAATCTCACTGGAGACTGAAGGTCTTTCTGCCACTTCCAGCTCAGCTCTGCTCCACACTTTCCTTGCACAAGACTGTTTCCAGAGGCTTTTCTGGTGATTATTTCTCCTTTAATGTTCTCCCCTCAGGTGTTTTTGTTGCCTTTCATGTCATCTCGGCTCTCCACGGTGGTTTCCTTTTCTTTTGGAGCCCTCATTCTCTAAGCAATTATTTTGATTACTTGAGGGGAAAATTTGCCTCTGTCATTCTGAGGGGTAATTATGGAAGTCATTAATGACAGGAGACTGGGCTATTCTCTTCCTGCGGATAAGAAGCATCATCAGAGACCCCCCCAGCACGCCTGTTTAGCTCCTGACCATCATGAAAATTTACCATTTCCAGACTGCACTTCTGTTCACCAATGTACCCTCATTATGGAACAAATAGGGTAGGTACTCAATGAATATTTGCTGAACAAATGAATGTATTAATCTTAAAGGGCACACAGATGCTTTGTTAGCCTGTCAGTCTGCAAGGCTCATTAGATTTCTCCTTTGGGGACAAATGATTTACATGCTTGTAACAGGCGAACATAATCACAGAGGTCTTTTAGTTTCCGGCTCTGGAAGCCCAGGATCTGGACTTGTGAAAAACAACACTACAACCTTGGACTGGTGCTGTTTACCGACCTCAGGACACTTCAGGGGATTACTTTTCAAAATGGCTTTCCTCCTAATCCTTTCAGCATTTATGGAGCACTAATGGAAAGCTTAGACAAACAGCTAATGCTCATCCCAGGAGCACTTAGAACAGGCCAACCAGTGACTAATCCAACATGGAAACTGGAGGAAGAAGCTGCAATGGACATAAGATGGGCCCACATTCCTATTTATAGTCTCATCATCTCAGCTAAAAGGGGGATACAGCATGGCCAGTGACTTGAACGTCTGAAGCATCAAAGAAATCTGATGGGTTCAGAAATAATTTCTGTGGAGATTGCTGCCCTGGTTGATCGGCCAAGGAGTCTGACTGGTTCCTGATGGCTCAAAGGAAGGGCCCCAAAGCTGAATATTCAGGCCAGAGCCTACACCATGCACTATATGACTCTGTGGTACCAAGGATTCGGGGTTGGTTTGGACTGACCTGGCCGTTTGGGTACACTTGGTAGGTACACTTTGGGTACTCCTAGGTAGGAGGAGGGAAGTTAATTGGTCTCCAAACTGGATCCTTTGGACCACTCCAGAGTTGGATTTAAACTTGCATGTATCTGATCCAAGATAATAGCCGGGACCACTAGGACTCATCCTGTCTAGTCACATGGCCTTGGCTAATCTTACTGGTCCCATGGGAATGGTGGTGCTTGTCTGATCTCCCATATAGGGACATGGTAAAAGTAAAATGAATACTCTGAACATGAGTTTGATTGTATCACAAAGGCAGTGGGATTATCAGAGACTAGAATGGGAATCTTCTCGCTTTTGCTAGTCTAGGGCTTCACTTAAGATGATTAAGGAGTAAACTGATCATCCTTTAGTTGAAAGCTAAAGAGGTACAAGGGGGAGTGACACAGGGAACTCTAGTTTGCCCTTAGAAGCCTGGCCTCTCTTGATATTGGATATTTATGGGAAGAAGATCCATGTTTTATTTCCATAGTTTGGAAGGCTTTTACGAGATTCTCCAAAATGCATTCTTTCATCAAATACATGTTGAGTAGTTGTCACATGCCACACAGTTCTTATTCTGAGGATGACAACAGCACATGGAAAACTTTATCACCATGACCTGGGTTGCTATGAAGGAGGCTGAAGGCTCCGAGGGACACGTCTAAGTGAAAGTCTAGAGCCCAGTGTCAGAGTTATGCTGAGGGAGCTTCAGGAGAAAGGTGGTTTTATTTTCTCCCTCATTGCCTACACACTTAGGATTGGTGTAGACTTATCTGGCTGAAGTGGACACTCCACAAGGGCACAGACTGGTGTTTCCTTTGTTCACTACAGTCTCCGTCATACCAGCAGGGTTGGCATACATTAGGGGTTCAATGCACACTGGTTGAATGAGGGGATGAATGAATGGAGGTATAACTTTTCCTCCCTGGGGTGGTGTTTTGACACAGTATGTTCTGAGGAACCATCTGTATCAGCACCAGATCAACTGTGTTATTAATGTAGATTCTCGGGTCCCACTCCAGACCCCCAAGTTGGTATTTTAGGAAGATGAACACTGCGTATATCCACTTCTTCAGTGATGCCACTGTCTACCAGCGTTCAGCTGCTGCAGCTGTGTTGTCTCCAGGGCCTGACACCATCAGTGCTGCTCACGAGTCTTCTCTGCTTCTTGAAACCCTCATCTAATGCTCTCAGGCCCCAGAAATGCAGGTCTGCAATAGTGATTGAATCCCTTGCTACCATCTCCATTTCTATGGCTGCCCCCCCTACCTAGACCCTCTTTTTACCTGGATGGTAGCTCCAGGACGTTTTTGCCATTTACGTGTCTAGATACTTAAGGTTTTGCGTGAGAAATTAAAGGAATATGTATCCATAAATTATGTGGCTGCTGAGATTGTTCTTTTTTCCTTTTTTATTCCCTCCTCTGGTGCCTTTATTTCAGCACGTTAGAAACTGGATCCTCTGCCTATTTCAGGCTTCAGTTGTTGCTGTGGTTTAATTCACACCTGATGTCCTCCAAGTTATTTCTCTTATAACCAACCGCTGCCCCATGCTGGCGAGGAGGCTTCAGATGGAAAAGGAGCAGCAGGAACTGATGAACCATGAGAGGAACATTTTTGTATAAATATAGCTAATGATCATCATCTTAATAGAAACACCGCAGGAAAAGGGGACAAGAAGGATGATACTGAACAATATTTAGAGCTCAGGCTTTCCTCAACTACCTAGCTGATATTTATGTTCATCATTTTTGATTCCCACCAATCAAGGAAATGAAAAATCTACTCATGTTAAAACAATTTGAGAGTATGCCAATAATTCCTATTCTTTCTTTCTTTCTTTTTTGCCAAATGGAAGTGTCTTTGCCAACAGAAGGAGTCTCGTCTGGGTGGTGGGGACCAAGTAAGTGTCTTTGTCAGGCTCTCATCTTTCAAGAGAGGAAGGGGCCCCTGCCCGGCTCAAGGGATGGAAGCCCACCCCTCATACCATGTTTATGAGGTAACGACTGCAGGCAGCTGCTGGATGGATACTTAGCAACACTTAGAGGAAATTCAGTGAGAGCAAATACTATTACAGAGGCTTGTCTGCAGAATATGTAGCCCAGCCATCCCTGGAAACCACGTAAGAATTATTTCTGCATTAAGTGAGACCATCTTTCTACTGCCTTTCTTCCTGGATGGATTTAAAGAAGATTCCATAAAATGGCTGTTGACTGCATTATTTCACTCCCAAGCCCCCTTATTTTCTTGTTAGCTATCCACCTCTTTAACTGCTCAAGGCATTCAGTTTTACTTAGAAACATCTTGTAAAGAACAGCACATGGAACTCATTGCCGTAGACATGGTTCCTTTTCACATGGACCTGGGGAAGGGCACATTCTTGGGTCTTACCCTGGCAGGTCTCACTCCTGCTGACCGAGTTATTTCTGTGTCCCCTGGGATTGAACTGCCACCTGCTTGTGCAGGCTCCCGAGAAAGCTCACAGATAACTCTTGGGGCCCCTCTCCCAAATGTACAGGACCTCAGGGAGTGCCAGCCTTCCTCTAAACTCTCCTTTTCTTGTTTCCTTTGTCAAGGTTCCTTCGTGCACCCTTTCAGTTAGTTGGGTTTTTCTAGCAGTTGGGTTTTTCTGGCATGTCCAGCTGCTCTGACCATTGCCTCCTGTGAGAGGTAAATGAAACCAGGTGGGAAGTTACTGATGTGTGACATTGAAATTAGGAATCTGGCCAAAATTAAAAATAAAATCTTGGACCTTTCCGTCCCGCTTACATTTCAGCAACCAGGTATGCTCTTTGAAAGGGCAGCAATTAGGTCCAGCCAGTACCGTATTCCCTTACTTACTGGGAAGTAAATTTTTACTGACCCCAGTAAATACTGGGGTCAACAGAGAAGCTGAACAAATGGAGGTTACTGGGTAGTTCCAGAGTTTTAAAAAAGCTTTATCATGAGAGGTTAATGAAAGGGCGGGCCTACGCCGGCCGACTCCATCTTGTTCTGTGTTCTCCACCTTGAGTGACTATGTTCCCGACATGACCCCTTTTCTGGGAAAATCACAGAAACCTTAGATCGCGCCTCCTCCCTTTGAGTAACCTCCCGCTCACCCGTTCAAACTTCCTGATAAAAACACGCCCAGCGACCTGCGTAACAGGACTCTGACCCTTCCCCAGCCAATTGGCTGCCCCTAGACCCCTATAAAACCTTTGTGCTTTTGAAACTCGCTCTCTCTCCCCGGTATCTCACCGCTGCGTCGGTGCAGGTAGGGGACTGAGCTTGAGCTGGCTCAAATAAAGGCTCTTTGGCTTTTGCATCGGACTCGGCTCCCTGATGGTCTTTGGGGATCACGAATTCTGGGCATAACAGTTATCCCTTAAAATGTCAAAAGAAAGCTATCATGGTGGGGTTTTGACTTTTCACTTTTGTCCTCCAAACAAAAAGAAGGCACCAACCACCCTGAGGGATCAATCACTGGGTAAAAACCAAGAGCTGAGAGCCAACAACAACAAAACAACAATAACAAAACACCTCTTAAAAATCCAGATGTCCTGCCGTATAAAGCAGCCTGGATTTGTTTTCTAGAGGAGTGAGCGTTAGAAGCAATTTGGCTTATGTTCTTGCCCTTGCAGAAGGCAGATATCTAGAAACAGGATTAAAGAAACTTAATCGTGGGTAATCTGCAATTTGGAAATCAGTTTTTAATCTCATAATAAGGGTCACCAGATACAGTTTCTGTCTTTAGTCGACATGCAGCCAATCTACACATGCTCACCTTTGCCCTCCACATTAGCCATAATTTAAAAACATCGACATGGCGTCCGCACTGTAAGGCCTTGTCTCCAGTGTCGTAGGACAGGTCGTAGTGTTTATCTTGCTGGAAAAGGTAGGAAGCATGCATCTGGTTGCAACTCTGCATCAACCCCTAGAAGAGAAGGGAAAATTTAGGAAACTCTACTGACTTGGTCAGGTATTCCATCAGATTTATATTGTGGTGAAAAGTATTAAGAAAAAAATTTGCAGAAGATGGCGGCGTAGGAGGATGCTGGGCTCACCGCGTCCTGCTGATCACTCAGATTCCACCTACACCTGCCTAAATAACCCAGAAAACCGCCAGAAGACTCGCAGAACGGATTCTCTGGACGCAGACGAGA